CCCCCCCCCCCCCCTCCCCCCTAACTTTCAAATTTTCCTTATATATATATAAAATAGTACCCTGAAATGCCAGCTTAATAACATTATTCGACACTTATAGAAGTATGATTTTACATTTGTTTCCAATTTTATATGAGAGCTTAACGCTAACAATTTTGAAATTAAATTTTTTTATGCGAAATTGGGTATAAACGAGCTCGTTTGAAAGTGCTTGACTCGGACGGACAACAAATGAAATCACTTTCCTTGAAGTGGTTTTCCCAAACAAGAGATGAATCACGTAGTACACACACATCGCTGCCGTCTTAACTCGCAACTAGGTGGTTTAACACATCGCTCTATTTTCGTGTCCTGACTTCTATTGCATACAGCGCACCGTTAAAAAGTTTTGCTCCGTTTCATCTTGGTTTCCTTACATCAAAATCAATCACACTTTGTTGAATAAATTTTGCTCTGAACGTTGGAAAACCAAGGTTGGTTATGAGTTCGTTCTTAGTTCGATATGCACATTGGATATCGAAGGTACTTTTCGAACGTTCGCCAAAATGTTTATAGGGACGTAACGTTTTTTTTTTCACTGATATGTTTTCAGTCAAAAATAAAAGTTACAAATTGACTTATATTTTTTCGGTAAAAAATAAAAGTTAAAATATGACTTTTATTTTTTTGGTCATCAGACTTCTTTTTTCTAGACTTCAGCAGGGATCGAACCTGCGTAATCGACAGGATTGAGAGAATACGTCATTCTTGCGTAATCGATGTTCAAAGTCAGCGACAAATCAGCTGCACTTGATAGTAGTTGGTTGAATAAGGAAAATGAATTAGCAACAAGAGTTTACGGGATGTACATAGCTCAGTGGTTAACGCTTCTGACTTTGAACATCGAATTCGCAGGTTCGATCCCTGCTGAAGTCTAGAAAAAAGAAGTCTGATGAGGAGATGTGGTGATCTCCGAAATAGTGCTATAACTTCTACCGCTTAGACTTTGTTGCTTTTTCAATTTTTCCTAATAAACAATCGTGGTACAAAGCTCAATAAAAATATTAAAAATAAAATGTTAACAAGCCACAATAACATTGACAAATACATAGTTTAGGAAGAGCCTGCCTGAAACTATACAAAAAAGCAAATAAGCAAATGGATGTATAGAATTGACAACAACAACCACGCTGTCGAGTTTAAATAGCGGCAAATCAGCTGCACTTGATAGTAGTTGGTTGAATAAGGAAAATGAATTAGCAACAAGAGTTTACGGGATGTACATGGCTCAGTGGTTAATGCTTCTGACTTTGAACATCGATTACGCAGGTTCCATCCCTGCTGAAGTCTAAGAAAAAGAAGTCTGATGAGGAGATGTGGTGATCTCCGAAATAGCCACTATTACTTCTACCGCTTAGACTTTGTAACTTTTTCAATTTTTCCTAATAAACAATCGTGGTACAAGGCTCAATAAAAATATTAAAAATAAAATGTTAACAAGCCACAATAACCATGACAAATAAATAAAAAATTATTTTATCTGAAAATTCAATTAGTAAAAAGACTTACGTTACAAATAGTTTTCCACCGAAAACACATGGATAATGCAGAATATAGGAAACTGTTTTATTGTGAAGAAGGCCGAAAATGCTCGAAGAAATCCAGAATTTTATGGACATTACCTTAAAAATTAGGCCGACTTTATTTTCATTAAGAAAGTTAATCACTGATTATTTTGTCGAATACTTTTTTATTACCTTCAAAGTAATACAAGGCAATCGAAATCAAGGCAAACCCTTAATTTCATGTTGTGCTTTTTAATTTTCATTAATTCAAAAGTGTCTCAGAATTAAGTGATTTTTCATGTTTGATAGAAGGAAATTCGTGTTAATATCTATATTGTCTGATACCTCAGAATATGAATAACCCAGATATAATCAAAAATCTGCGAAACCTAAGAAAATAAATTTTTCTTCTCGGTCTCGTTTTCGACGATTTGGGCCATATGTTTTAATTTTATACACTTTATATAGAGGGGCCTGGACTTTAGCAGCAAAGATCGTTGCAACTGCGCTTTGCCAATCAGCTGGTTTAATATTTATTTTGTTTCGTCCAAATTCGAGCTTTCATGCTGGAACATAAAATTTAATTACATTGATGATATTTTTAAAGCTAAATATATAAAATCCATAGTAACCGCTAAACCAATTTTTCCGAAACTTGGCACAGTTGTTAGCCTTTGTACAATGTAGCAAACGGCTGAAAATTTTTAAAATCGGACAATAACCATGCCCACATCCCATATAACGGTAATTTAGAGAAATACGAAATCTTCGATAAACTAGTAAATACAGAAGCTAATTTATTCAAAATTCATGTTTGCGATCCCTCTTTATCAAAAACCTCCTTTATGATAAAATTTTGGAAAATGGGCGTGGCACCGCCCACTTATGACCAGGTATGTATATCTCGGAAACCGTTCGATCAACTTGTACTAAACTTGGCACGTTTATTTCGCCACATAAAAGCAAAACGATAAAAATTATTGAAATCGGACTAAAATTACTCCCACTTTTCGTATAACGGTAAATTTCATAAAATCTTGAAACTTCGATATTTCGATATTTAAGGACGCTAATTTCCTCAAAATTGCCACAATCCCTTGAAATAAGTAACATTATTATAGAATTTTGGAAAGTGGGCGTGATACCCAGGGCTGCCAACTTGGCACAAACCGTGCCATTTTTGGATCTATTTTGCTTCAAATGGCACTTAATTTTTCAATTTGGCACAAAGTTCCAAAATAGCTCTTTTGTAAACTAGTAATATTTCAATACATTTTTGGGAAATCCTTTACGTGTACTTCTTTTTCTCAACTAAAATTTTCTAATTTCAATAGTGTATATAACTGTTTTATCTTACTTTGTTATTGGACTTTTGTTTTAGGAATGTGTTTTTAATTTTAATGCTAAATGGGAAGAATTAAAAAGAAAGGCAACCTTTTTTGGCACTTTTATTTTTCTATTTGGCACATTTTGGGACTTTTATATCCTCAATATGGCACTACATAGCTAATTATAGTTGGCAGCCCTGGTGATACCGCCTACATCTAAAAGTTTATCTCATTAAGTATAACTGAACATACTATCGAAATTGTTAGAAATAGGGGTGAAACCACTCTTCCTACCATGTAACGGTAGTTTTCATAAAGGTGAAAAACTATATTTAATCCTTGCGCCGGGTATTTAATGTTCGGCTCCACCCGAACTTAGACTTTTTTACTTGGTAAGTAATAAAAACGATAACTTAAGTTAATTATAGCCTTTTTAATGTTATTCCTAAACTTTCGCATTCGCATTCACACTCCCTAATATGTATATATTTATGCATGCATATAAAAGTATGGTATTACTTGTTGCTCACCCACTTACATAATCGTTTCAGAACGTATTCATTAAATATCCGCTTGCATTAATAATTCCCTTCCGAAAGTTTTTCTTCCTTCTGAATATCAAACCTGGCTATTGATTCCTTTCATTTTGTACCTTTCGATAGACATCTCTTTGGATCTGGAATTAGATTAAAAAATAATTTCCTCTTCACATACATATTTATGTACATAGTTCGAATCGATAAATATTTTTTTAAGTTTGGTTGAGACTAACTGATTAGCAACCAGCTTAAATAGATAAGCTGGAAGTAGTTTATTGAAATTAGAAAACAATTGAATTTCATACATGTGTTAACAACAACAACCAATAAGGCAACATTTTTTCATTCCTAACAAATTGGAAAGGAAATAAATTAAAACGTGTATTAAGTATTGATTAAAATAACAACAACAACCAAAAAGGAAACATTTTTTTCATTCGTAACAAATAGGAAATAAAATAAATTAAAATATGTATTATGTATTGATTAAAATAAGTGTTATAATAACTATTATTTTGGTTAATAGCGAGTTCATTTCCAAGAACAGTAAATATCGAATTGCTATTTATTAATTATGGACGATTAGCCATAATTAACGCACACAAATTAATTTCTTTATAAACCAAAAAAATGAGCGAAAAATTCAACAAAATCCAGGTTAAAACAATTTAAAACTACCAGTATTGAACAGCTGCTTTTCATGAATGTCTTTGGGTTTAAAAATTTAACGGAATATACTAGTATATTCTATCGCTTCAAGTCAAAGTTGGGGAATACTGTGGACTAACGGGACTCTGAGGTGACATAGGCGATTCACTACGACTGTAAACAGGACTCGTTGGCGAGGATGAATAATAACTAGGACTAATTGGTGAATAAGCAACATCTGAGTGAGATATAGACGAATAAATGGGACTAACAGGATTATTTGAGTATTGTGGGCTTGTGGGGGAGTAACGATTTGAATTGGGCGAGTAAGTTGGCGAGGTAGGCGAATAGGCTGCGGACGAAGTGCTTGAGTAGCGTGGACTTGGCGAAGAAGGCGAAGAAGCTGAATACTGTTGTGGCGAACGTGGTGAAATAAATTGAGGTGAAGTGATCGTAGGCGAATAGTTGATTTTCGGACTTAACGGCGAATATTGGGGTGAATTTGTGGAAAATGATGGGCTAACCGGTGTGTAACTTGGACTAGAAGGATTGTAGCTAAGCGTCGAAGGCGAGTAATGTGGTGTTTGAACTACAAAATTCGGGCTGGACGGGGAGTAGTGGGTGTAAATTGGACTTGTGGGTGAGTATTGAGCATTGCTCGATGGAGTTGTGTTACTTTCGGCAAAGAAATATGGCGTTGAGCGATATTTCTTAGGATCGGGGCGTTTGGAGCCACTACTTTTAGCTTTTGTTACATCTTCATTCAAGGAGTCTGGGGTGTTGAGTGGTGAAGATGGAGAATATAGTGAGTCATTGTGGCTTGTTGGTGAGCTCGGGGAAAAGTTACTGCAGTTTTTGCTTGAACTCATAACAGTAGGTGAATAGGAGGGTGAAGTGGGGGAATAACTATTCGTTTGAGGGGAATAACTGGGTGAAGTTGGCGAATAATGCGTTGAACCGGAAATACTATTGTACGAAATTGTCGGACTAGCTGGGGAATAGAATGTGGCGCTATTGTTTGAAGGTGATTGTGGTGAGTGAGCTGGCAGATAACGCTGGTAACTCGGAGAGAATTCTGGTGAAGTTGGCGAATATTTGGGAGACTGCATTAGAGTAGTTAGCAAATCGTTGCTACAGCTCTTCGCTGTTGGCTCATATACCGACGACACAGGCGAATAGTACGAGGAACCACCATAATATGATTTGAGCGATGCTGTTGATGGTGAAGAATATGGTGAGTTGCAGAAATCATCTGGTGTTAAGGTGGGCGAACTCATATTGGAGAGGGGTGAGAAGCAAGCAGAGCGTGTAGATTGTGGAGTAAGACCATCGCCTAGGCCAGGCGAGAATTCTATTATACCACTGCGCCCGCTGCCTGCTAAAATATTCGGTGTGAACATCGAACCGTAAAACAAGGCATTCTTATTGTTAATTGAATCCACTTCCATGGCCAATTTGCATTTACTGGCATCAAGTATCATATCGAAGCAACCGGTGCCGATGCGTGGCATCTGGCCCATTACAATGTTTTCCGATACCCCACGCATGGCGTCGCGTTCACCATGAGCCGCAGCGTCCAGTAGCACGTCAACCGTTTCCTCAAAAGAGCAACGCATCAAAGGGCCAGTCTGTTGACGATTAATGCCATGACGAGTGATTGCCATTAGGTGTCCTTTGGCGGTCATAATGTCGCAGAGTAATGCCAAGTGGCGATAGTTGACATATAAGCCTAGAAGAATTCAAAAGTGTACATTAATAAAAAACGGATACGATTATGCTTAAAACAAAAAAGGCATACACGAATGAATTATACACATGCAATCAAAAATTTGTCAAAAATTTACCGTAAAATTGCAGCACATTATTCATTTCTTTCTCAATGGACTTGCGCACCGCTTCGATGCCCAACACCGTAAACATTTCACAAATATCGTTGCTGCAGGTTCGCGTTTGATCGACATTACGTTCACTTAGCACGCGCATCAGTGCGGTACCATCGGTTTCCAACAGCCACTCAGCAACCGATTTGAATTCACCCGTTTCGGTGATGTAGATACGTTTCTTATTGGTCACCTGGGGCAAATGCATATATACTTTGGAAATGGATTCGATGCCTTGCAGGGTCATATCCGACAGCATATTGCTTTCGATACAACGTAGAAACATATTGTCATCCAAGCGCGCAAGCTCAGCTTCTTCCTCGGCAAGTTCATCGCCTCGAAATTTATTCTCCGGATTCGGTGTGTTCGTAATGCGTATACGCATTATCAAACGCGGTGCATTATCATCATTGAAAATACACTTTATATCGTCACCGAAAGAGGCGGCAATGCGTTCTGCAATATGTTCCATGGTGAGTTTCTTTTCGGTCATATGTTTGCGATTGAGTTCTATCCTCAAAAGCCAAGGGGAAATTTCGCCTGCGAGAAAATGCGAAAAGTAAATATAAACTTTTGGCTAATACAAATTGGTATACATCAGTTTAATAGCACTGTAAAACAATTTCAGGGTCAGGGGTGGAAGGATTCCAATTCAGCATGAACGACTTAGACCCATATAGTAAAACCTCTAAATATTTTTCCACTCGCGGGTCAAATTTATTTTATGGTCATATTAAGTATAAAAATTTTTGCCTGTGTATTTTCTGGCTAAGATAGTAAAAAGTCTTTCATAATACAAATGAAAGACAGATGACAAGAAAGTTCGAACAAATTTTGATATTCTAGCACAAAAGTTCTAGAAACAAGCTCTCCCATTCACCACACTTAGTGAAAAGCTATTTTAAGAGAAAGCACTTGTATATAATTTAGTTCGCGTCGCTCCAACAGTCGCAATGACCGAGTGCGGAAAGCACAGACGTGCCATTCGAGAGATATTAGTTCGCGCCTTCAGACTGCGGATATTTTTCGCAATGTATGTAAAGTTTTTTATTCTAATTTATTCTGGCTAATTTTTTATAAAAATATAGTTCATACTTTAGCAAAAACAAAAAAAATAAAATCTCTAAACTTTTTGAAAAACTCTGGAAAATTCGATAAATTTGAGTACTAATTTGCAATTTTCTAATTAAATTTGTTAGAAAAATTTTAAGTATGCAGTTTTATAGCCCATTCAGTTTTAGTATAGCAAGGTGTAAAAGTACAGGATATGTTCGAAAATTTTTTTTTTGTGTATGGAAGAAAATAATAACACCGTCCACAAAGAAATTGCCAAAAATTAGTACAATTTTTTAACAGCTTCAAACTCGTACTTAGTTATACTAAAATTTAATAGGCTGTAAAACTTCCTTAGAATCTAATTAGAAAGTGGCAAGTTAATTTATTTTCCTGTGTTTTGCAAAAAGTTTACAAATTTGATTTTTATATCTTTTATTTTTTTGTTGTATGAACTACAGTTATTTAAAAAATTAGCGAAAAGAAATTAGAACCAAAAACTTTGTATACATTGCGAAAAATTCTATTTTGTCCGGCACTGTGTAAATTTTAGACCTTTGTCTTTGGAAAGACTATGGTGAGTTGAAAGACAGTTGGAAAACGAAAGTACAATATAATGTTCTCTACGGATTTGTGTCGCTATGTGGTGTTTATGCCCATACATCTGGCAACACTAATCCAATGGCGGTTTGGTAAATAACATTATAGACTACCGTTGTGTAATTCGTTGCTCGTGCAAAAAGTTACATATGTGAAATATCTTAAAAAATACGCCTTTACTTTAAAAAAGGTAAAAATGCTGAACAAAATGTAAAAACAAAATTTTGCTCTGAGTGAACGCGGGGCCCACGGGGTCTTTGCTATATGTATACCGTTGCGGAAATTTTTATATCAAAATTGCAGCTCATCTTGGTCGGCCAATAATTACAAAGGTCGATGAAATAATGCAAATTCTCAGGATATAGCGGAGGCACTAGACATATCACATGACAGTTTGGAATCATCCAAAAAGACAAGGCTACTCAAAGAAGGTCGATGTGTAGGTGCCACAGGAATTAACGCAAATAAATTTGATTGCCATTTAGTGAAAGGTTGAGCTAGTCACAGTTGAGCAATGACGGGAGAAGAGGAGGAAGAAGGTAGGTCTATTCAAGAGTAATAAAAAAGAGGCAGGAAATTTAGCAGCAATTGAATGGTTTCGAGAACGGGCGTTGGAGGTTTCCTGCAGACATTAATTTAGAAATTTGCTAACACTTGAGATATGGAGAGAACATTTCTCAGGGCTTTTTAATGGCGATGAATTTGGTGCGCCTCGTCAATCTATAGCAGTGATTCCCAAAGTGGTCCAGGTGGACCCCCATGGGTCCACGGGAGACTCGACCGGGGCCTACGTCAGCGTCAAAAAGTATGGGGTCCACGAGTTGTAAGTGGGGGTCCACGAAGGGGTTTTTACGTGGCGGGTCCCAAACCCAGTGCACAACCCATTGCTGGGACGGGGCTGGTTTCACAACCAAATACACGTTTATATAGCGAGCCGCTTGCACCAAGACAGACACCCGCTTGCAGCTGCACCTACTGGTGAAAAGACGCTGCAGACTTCAGCGAGCCCTTAAACCGAATAAGTCGGAGTGGCCCCACCGAAGCTCCCTCTCTTTCTGCCGTGACCCAAGGCTCCACTCGGATTGGTTACCGCATCGCGCATATGGGTTTCTCACGTTGCCCAGAGTGCGCGAACGAGGACGCAAGAGTCGGGATTGTGTATAGCCGTGCAACTGTAACTGCATTCACAGCACAACAACTATACCCCATTGCATTCCTCTCTCGACTACTATCTCTGAAAATACCATTCCTGCACCATGACTTGTGACCATCATTTGCCTAGTAATTTGTTATATACTTTTGTTTATTTTTATTTGATTAAAAAAAAAAATAAATAGGAAAAAGTTTAATAAAATTTTCGAACGCTTATTATAGGCTTCAAAAAGCAGTGTCATTGACATTGGTTATTGTGGTACACCAACTGCATGATTCAATGCCTGCGTTTTTTTATACATTCCGGATAATCCCATTTCACAGCCGGAATAAACAGAATGCGTTTGAAATATACGTTAACATATCATCAGGAACGTTCTAAAGAATAAGTAAACAAAAAAGTTTATTCCAAACGTTCAGAATGAATAAAGAAATGCAGACAATAATTCAAGGTTTGCTCATTATCATGATGCAATAATTAAAGGTGGTATACGTAGTGACAGATTGTTTCGACGACTCCCCTAGCTCAAGGTTCTATTTTGGAAGCATACGAAGCACGAGAGAAAAGGGAAGAAAAAAGGCCGGTTTGCGAAATAGTATTAAATTTAGTACTTATTTTCATATCAAAGTATTAAATGAAAATTTGTTTACTAAGTTTAAATATAAATGATTTACATATTTTTGGAAATACTTTTAAGTAAGTGGTTAGTAAATTTAAGATTAGTTGCTGCATTAGTATATCTTATTACATTAAACGAGCAATTCTTGTATATATGTATATATATATCCGTAGCGTTCTCGGAAACGGCTCTAACGATTTTGATGAAAATTTTTACCCAGATAATGTCTTGGGTTTTAAGGCTATCTGAATAGCCAATATCTCCGAGAAGACTTGTATAATGTTCCCACCTATTCGAAATTAGTTACAAATTAATTAAAACATCATAATATGGGTATCAAATGGAAGGTATTTTAAAGATCCCTAATTCAAAAATATTTTAAATAGGGTTGCTACCTATTTTGAATCACATACTTATTTAATTTTTTGTTTAGAAAAAAAGGTAAATTAAATATTACTATTCATGGGTACCAAGAGAAGGTTCTTAAACAATTCGTTCCCTATATGGGCGAAACCGAGAAATAGTCACCCAAAATCGCAAAAAATGCATGCAATTCGAATTCTCTCATTTTTGTGTCAAAAAAGGCATACTACGTCCGCAACGCTAGGATTTGCCCATATACCAAATGTTATCCCTTAGGATAATAGTGTAAGGTTGCCACTTATTTTCGATTCTACATAATTTATCTAAAACATCTCAATATGGATATCAAATGAAAGGTATTGTTGAGAACTTTGGTCAGAAAATATTTTCCATCAGGGTTGCTACGCTTCTATGTAATGCAAATTTTTATTTGGTTAATTTCAATCAGCATTTTTTTATGTATACACAGTACATATACGCTCAAGATATGTACCATTCATTCTAGCGTATTTCGGAATAGGGTTGCCACCTAAATTTTGGAGTAAGAAATTTACTTAATAGATATCGAAATCCAATTTTTTTTTATTTCCAAAATATTTTTTCAAAGCTATCCAAATCTTGAAATCTTTAAAAAGTATAATGCACTCCGGGCAAAACTCGGTCAACCTGGTACTAATAATAAAATCAGAAAAAGACGAATATTTTATGATTTTTTAATTAATTTATTAAGTCTTTTTATTTGAAAAAATGTATATATTCACAGCAGGCATAGATAGAGGAGATACATATATAAAAAATCATATCTAAACAATCAGAGGTATGGAAGATATACCTTATATAGCACCAATCTAAATGATTTTCACAATTTAATGGGTTTAGCTACCTACATCAAGGAGATATATCGCAAAGACTGGTATCTGAACAATCAGTTGTATGGGAGCTATATGTTATAGTGGTCCGATTCTTCCGGTTACGACAAATGATAAAGACATTATAAAAATACACCCACCTACCAAATTTCATCCGGATATCTCGAAAACTGAGAGACTAGATTGCATACAAACAGACGGACAGACGAACGGACAGACAGACAGACAGACGGACATGGCTAAATCGACTCAGCCCGGCGTTCTGATCATTTAAGTATACATTTTAATGGGTCTATCTCTTCTTATTCTGGTACTTACAAACATCGGAAAGGTATAGAAATCAACGCGATTTTTTAGCAACTTAAAATTTGTACATTGTTATATTAAAATTAAATGAGCTACAAAACTGCATACCAGAAAAATCCGAGTAAAAAGTTTAAAATTTTAATGAAAATTCGTTAAATTTTCCTTAATATTGTATACAGTTTGAAACTTTGATTTATATACTTTTGTTTGTAGTGTGAACCATATTTTTGTACAAAAATAGCAAACGAATTGCAGTTTGCAAAACATTGTGAATATTTAAAAAAACAAGGGTGTACGCAGATATAAGGTGCGTTCGCGTAGCTGTTAATTGTTCAAGTTTAACCAAAACTTACAGGTTTTTGCGTTCGCGTACGCAAAAAACTTGCAAAGTAGGGGATTTGAATTGAGAGAGCAAAGTGACATTTCATTTTGAGGGGAAGCTGTTAGTTTCTGTTGGAAAAATTTTTGCCAACAGCAATTTGCCAACAGGGAAACAGCTGATCAAAAACAGCTGGTAGGAATTTACGCAAATCACAAAATTGAATTTGATGGGTTGGAAGATAAAAATTACAAAATGCGACTAAGTAAACTTGTAAGAAATAAGTAGTTATTTGTTTAATCAATAAACTGTGTCAGTATACCACTTTGCGATGACTTTTCGTACGTTTTAAATTTTACACTTTTGTATGTAAACAAAAATTATATCAGCTGTTCGTCTAACTTGCAAGTTTCTGCAAATTTTCTGTTCGCGTACTATTTTGGATATTTCTCTCTTGTGAGAGAACAGATGACATTGCGCCGGAATTTGGCAGTTGGTTGGTTTCTGCTGGAGATTTTAAACGAACGCACCTATAATTGAGCGAACGTATGTCTGTTGGTTTTTGGTTTCAACTTAAAAATTACATTCTATGAAGTGCAGTGCAAAGTATGCATACATAAGCAATAGCTCTTTAGAAGGCTTCTAATCATAAAGGTTAACTTATGACGAAAATACGCCGGTGGTGGAAAGATGGCTCTAAATTAGTTTAAGCAAGATGATAGTGTAGCGACCGCAATGTACAAGCCAGATGAATAAGGGAACACCAAGCAGTCGTAAACCTGTGAAATAATTCCATTTATATTTGCGTCAACTGGTATTGTAACAGTACTTACGTGTGGAGCAGCAGAAGAAACATACGATGCAGTGGTCCTACAGAAAGAGAAGCGGAAGACTCGCAGTGGCGATGTGAGAGTCACACGGTCACGAAAAGTTGGTCCACTCTCCGCAGCTGGCACCAAGATGTACACAGGCAGCAAACCAAAGCAAGAGAAAACCTGTGAAAAAAATTCATTATAGCTGCTTAATTAAATTTTGCAAAAGTACTTACGAGTGCAGCGGTGGTTTTGCAGTAATTCAAAAAATGCTGTTAAGAGGCAGCCGATCAAGTTGGTGGAATGCACGGGCACACAAAACAGCAAAACACCTTTGGAATAGTTTTATTTATAGTTTCCTTATCGGATATACATAAAATACTTACGATTTGAGGAATTCTTTTCCCAAAAAAAAAAACCTTAAATGCGGAAATTTTGGCGGAAATTTCTTGCACTATATGAATCAAAGCCGTGTGTGTGGAGGATTAAGTTCCCCGATATTGCAGTTATGAATTAAAAAAAAAAAAAACAATGTTTAACAAAATGGTAGAAAAATTATGAAATTTCGGCTCTAATCATTTCAATCTTTCCTCGACCTCATTTGTAAAGAAATGAATATTGTAGCAGCATGCTGGTATGTTATGTGCATCGAGCCTGATGGTAAAATCACTTGAAGGAGCCAGCAAGCTGGTGTCGTATATTTTCCCTTAAATACAAAACGGTTGTTGGTTGGAAAAATATTTGATTTTTTTCCAGAGTTCATTGTTTTTCTATACCATTACTCATTGAAAATGTTTGTGTGTATGTGCTTATACATATATGTAAGTAAAAAATTTTAGCTACAATTTTTAGCCACAACCACTTTTTTTAGCTCTTTCTTAGGCCTTTTTTTAAAGGAATTTAGCTACCACTAAAAATGATTTGCGGCAACACTGGTGGTCTTCCTGTAAGGCTCTCTGACAGGTGAAGTACTTGGGCTTGATCTTCGAAAATAAGCTTCCTGGAGCCAAAAAAAGCTACGGTAGCCTTGTATTGTATTGTTGTAGAGGGGCCATTGGTAGGCGCTGGGGTCTTTCGCCGAAAGCAGTTCACTGGCTTTATGAAACTATAATTAAGACAATTTTATTGTATTGGGTACTCGCATGGTGGAACGCATCGGACAAGGCCGTTATCGTGAAGCAGATGGAAAGGGTACAAAGAGCCGCCTTAATTGGAATCAGTGGGGCACTTTGAACCTCACCTACTCAATGCCATGTTAAATTTGTGCCTACAGATATAGCTTGAAGGGATGCCACTAAGCTTGCCGCAGTAAAACTAAACGGGGGGGGGCTTTAAATTCGCTCGGCTATAGTCACTCGAGTATTCTAAAAAGCTTTGAGTTCCTACCGACCCGGACAGACTACTGCATGCCGGTTCGGGGTCCGAATGGACCTTTCACCATCCTCCTTCCAGCTAGAGAGAACTGGAAGGGGTGCAATATCTGGAATGGTGGCCCTGTAAACCTATTTACAGATGGATCGAAGCTGAATGGGGAGGTAAGTGGAGGTCCCTTCTGCGAACAACTTTCCATAAGCGCGAAATTTAGGTTACCGAATCACTTCAGTGTCTACCAAGCTGAGGTTATCGCAATAAAAGAGGTCCTAGCGAGCCTAAGGTTTAAGCTCCTCGGATCGCACTTTTTTCACACTCCCGATGAGCTTTCGGGGATGAACATAAGTCGCTTGAAGAGCTTCGTTGCGATCACGGAGCGTTTCTCTTCTCTTCTAGAGCATCTAGATACATTTCTGCATCAAAAAGAAAATATTGAAAAAAATGTCGCTTACGTTATTTTGGCGGTTAGGGCTCGATATTTTTGAAAGTATCATATGCTTTATCGCAATCAATATTTAAATTCATTTCTATTAGTGAGGTAGTCCCTTTGTTTTTCTCTTCTCACCATTTCACATTCACGATAGAAAAAGCTCTTTCTGTGAATGCCAAAGCTGCAGGAATAGACAGCAGATGCGAAATAATTTTAAGTAAATTTGGTTATTCATTCTAAGTATTTTGAAAAATGTTGCCTTTTTTTATCTGTGGTTCTGTGGTAATAAACTCTCTATGACCTATTATTTTTCATATTGTTATGGCAGTATAAAGGTCTTCCATTTTAAAACACACTTTTTCTTGAAAATTACTAAAATATATTACTATATGTTTATAGTTGAAGGAATATAATATTTTTGCATACTATATTTTTTCCAACAGTATATAGTACGCAAACCGATAAAATAATACAATATTAGAGTACGGTTGGCAACCCTAGTGTACGCAGCCATATGTAAATGAGTGTGTGTACATATCGCACACGATCTTTAAAGGTAACACAACCAGGGCTGCCAACTTGGCACAATCGTGCCATTTTTGGCTCTATTTTGCTTCAAATGGCACTTAATTTTTTAATTTGGCACAAAGTTCCAAAATGGCACTTTTGATAACTAGTAATATTTCAATACATTTTTGGGAAAGCCTTTGCATATACTTCTTTTTCTCAACTAAAACTTTCTAATTTCTAAAGTGTATATAACTGTTTTATCTTACTTCGGCATTGGACTTTTGTTTTAGGAATGTGTTTTTAATTTTAATGCTAAATGGGAAGAATTAAAAAGTAAAAAGAATGGCAACCTTTTTTTGGCACTTTCATTTTTCTATTTGGCACATTTTGGGACTTTTTTACTCTCAATATGGCACTTCATAGTTAAGTATAGTTGGCAGCCCTGAACACAACTTCAAAATTACACGTTTGTCAAAAAATGCGAAAAACTATTTCTTAACACATGCTAATCATATGGATAAGGAAGGCTTTACCTTAAGTTTTTTTTAACAAATTATAAAGAAAAGATTTCCCAGCTTTTGCTGAAAGGTAAATAAAAGCTCTGAGTACATTTTTAGCGTATAAATTCAAAAATGCCAAATTTTGAATTGTGTCACTTTTGAAGATCGTGTGCGATATGCAAGTGAATATACCGTTTTTCTCAAGTAGGTTTTCAAATTTATCTGCCCTTTAAACACAAATTTTGTTCGGTAAATATGTGGTGTTTGAAAGGTATATAAATCTTAAAACCTACTTGAGAAAATGGCACTAAGAGTAGGTACTACACTAACAATAAGTTAATTATATAATATCGATTAAAATTAACTACAAAGTTCAAAGTATAACTCACTCGGATTAAAATCTGGTATCTCATAGTATATATTAACGAATTCCTGATCTTCGTGTACTACGGTATTCATCGGATCTGGATCATAGTAGATGGCCGTGTTGGCAGTGACTTTCTTTAGGGTCGTATGCTCCAAACGGCACAGTACATCTTTAGCTTTTTCCACGTCACGCGCTGGTTTGCCGGTTAGAAAAACTGTTAGCGATGGTGAACGTGGACGTTTAGATACATTGATAATCTCCTTCAAGCGTGGCACACCTAAGGTAACATTTTTCGCCGAAACGCCCGCAAAATGAAAAGTGTTGAGCGTCATTTGAGTGGCTGGTTCACCAAGCGATTGGGCAGAAAGTGCACCCACCATTTCACCGGGACAAACTTGTGAGAGTTGAAATCTGGTAGCAATTTCGCCAAGCAACATCTCGAAGGATTCTGGTGTTAAATGATGATTTTCAGCGACTACCTTGGAGCATAGAGTAGAGCGTACCAAGCATTGAAATAGGAAGGTGGCATTGTCGTTAGCTTGCTGGGAAATGTAATCAGTGCCAGGAACAATAACGCATTGCTTTAGCAGCTCTCGAACACCTAAATGATATTTTGAATAATGAAATAAATAGATACATATCAGCATGTATTTTTCTTATCAGCAACCGCACCTTTAACTACGTCCAAAGGGTTGAGTGCGCTGGTTGCACGTTTGTCGACATGAAAGATCTTCTGTACATTCCAAATCATGCGCTGCAAATTGCATGGCAATACCACCTTTGAATCTCCGGTGGGGAAAATCTCTCGCAAAGCCTCGCGGTCACGGCACAATTGGTCCCACTCTACCTCTAGCTGCGGAATGATCTCGCTAGATTCAGTTATATCGCGTATTGTCTCCTCGCTAAAGTATTTGCGTAAATTTCGTGTCTGTGTGACATCGAATTTGAATTGCTTCTCGAAGGCTTTATTGGATAACTGTATAGCGGGTAGTGTTTGAAACTCCACCGATTCACCACAGAGTCCGTCCTCACCGTAACGTAATTGTATGATTTGACTCTCAGCATTGCGTACAGTACCATCGTAGTGCACCATAACCGATTCCATTGCCTTTATTAGGCGTCGCTGAATGTAACCCGTTTCTGCAGTCTTCACAGCTGTATCGATTAATCCTTCGCGTCCGCCCATAGCATGAAAGTAAAACTCGCTCGGTGTTAACCCCGCTAGATATGAGTTCTCGACGAAACCACGTGCCTCGGGGCCATAATCATCCTTTATGAAATGGGGCATTGTGCGTTTACGAAAACCAAAAGGTATACGCTTGCCTTCAACGTTCTGTTGGCCTACGCAGGCGATCACTTGCGATATATTTATGTTAGAGCCTTTCGAACCGGCAATTACCATGGCCTGAAATATGAGTAGGTAAGTGAATAAAAAATTTTAGTTTAATGTGCAATTAATTAGTTACACACATAATCACTATTACCTTTAAATTATTATATTCTGTGAGGGATTTCTTGGCAGAACCACCAGTTTTATCGCGTGCATCGTTCAATATGCGATTTACTTGATTCTCGAAAGTCTGGCGCAATGTATTACCCGGTGTGGGCTCCAACTGCATGTGATGCGCCTTCTGTATGACTAACATCACATCATTTTTTGCCTTGGCAATGGCGTTCTGTATCTCCTTGTATGTGGCTGGATCGGCAATGGTATCGCCAATACCAATGCTATGACCTTCGAGTAACAGCCAAGCATTTACCACTTTTTGAATATTTGCATAGAATTCGCCAGCAATTTGATGCCCCAGCTCGATGTAGGCGATGTGCAGCAGGGAACCAGCGGTGGCACCCAGAGTGCGTTTACATAGTATACCCATAATAAGCTCGCTATACTCTACAATTACCTTGGATAATATAAGTATATTCGTTGGTTTTATTAGAACTGAAGACGATTTCTGTAGAGTAAAATTTTTCTATTGTAATAATATGGATCTAAAGGTGCATCTGTAAAAACCCTCTCAGTATTGGGTTGTGCGCTGGGCTTAAGGCCCACCACATTGAAAAACCCCTACCAATGAAAGTATAAAAGTGCCCCAGCTAACTATCTCTCTTATCCAGTGTTGCCGCCGCTCAAAGAACTTTCTAACCAAGATTTGACGAAAAAGTTACCAAATGTAAGGAAAAATAACCAATTTTTTATTAGATTAACAACTCAGGTCATCACATATTCTTTTATATAGTACGTGTAGACAAATTTTAGAAGCCAAATAAAATCAGTTTTTATTTGCATTTTTGAAAAGTAAATCCTTTTAAGGCTGAAAATAAATGAAATACATTCATATATAAGTATATATATAAATACATATTTTAGAAAATCAGGCTTCCCGTATTAGGTGCATATGTATGTTAATATCTTTAACATTACCAGACTCTAAATGACGTTTTTAAATAAGTACATAGGTACACAGTTTCCAACTTCTTTGTAAGAATCAATGAAATGCCTAATCAGCGTGAACAACCACATTGTAAATATTTTATAATTAAGATTAAACAATTAAAAATTGGACTGTATTGAACTATATCGTCGCTCAGCGCGAACTACCTCGTATACGCCAAACGCAGTACCGCATAAACGATAGTAAATAAATTTTACAAAAGCGCGAAAAACCGATTTTTTCAAAACTGTGGAATGGTATTTCCATATATGTAATACTTCTATATTGCTAGTACATTCAAAGTACATTCCCCAACAGCAGAGTGCGGAAATAAAGAAAAAAGCAAGAGAGATCCGATAAGAGAATGTACTCAAAATTACAATTTTACTTTTGAAAATTCAGGAGCGGCTTCACAAATTCTTAGTTAAAAACAATTCATATGAAAAATTAATAAAACAAGTAAGAAAGTCTAAGTTCGGGTGGGGCCGAACATTAAATACCCGGCGCATGTATTAAATATGTTTTTTCACCTTTCCGAAAGCTACCGCTAGGTGGTAAGCCGGGGTGTATAAATTTTGAGTAAATTAGCGTCCTTAAATTTCGAAATATTGCAGTTTCAATCATTTCTGAAATTTACCGCTATATGAAAAGCGGCCGTAATTTTAGTCCGATTTCAATAATTTTCAACGTTTTGCTTTTATGTGGCAAGCACAATAACCACACCGAGTTTGGTACAAATTGGTAGAACGGTTACCGATATACTTATATGTGATCATAAGTGGGCGGTGCCACGCCCATTTTCCAAAATTTTACCATAAACGTATTTCTTGGTAAAGAATTGTTGCAAGCATCAATTTTGAATAAATTAGCTTCAATATTTACTGATTTATCGAAGATTTTGTATTTCTCTAAATTACCGTTATATGGGATGTGGGCGTGGTTATTGTCCGATTTTAAAAAGTTTCGGCGGTTTTTTATGCTGTACGAAGGCCAACAACTGTGCCAAGTTTGGAAGAAATTGGTGCAGCGGTTACCAAGATATACACATGTAACCATAAGTGGGCGTGGCTACGCCCATTTTCCAAAAATTTATAATATTCTTATTTTTCGTCTAAAAATTATTGTAAATATCAATTTTGAGTGAATTATCTTCAGTAGTTACTAAAATATCGCAGTTTTCGTATTTCTGGAAATTACCGTTATATGGGAAGTGGGCGTGGTTAAAGTCCGATTTCGCCCATTTTCAATACCAACCTACCTTGGATTAAGGGAAACCTACATACCAAATTTCGTTGAGATATCTCAATTTTTGCTCGAGTTATCGTGTACACGGACAGACGGACAGACGGACGGACAGACAGACATGGCTTAATCGATTTCTTTTTTCATCCTGATCATTTATGTATACATTTGTCTATATCTATCTCGATTCGTTTTGGCTGTTACAAACAACCGTTATGTGAACAAAATTAATATACCCTTGTGCACAAGTGCGCTCGGGTATAAAAATAAAATTTTTATAAATGTATGAGAAACGCTGCGGCCGTTGGTGGTGGCAGAGGATAAAAAGACCACTTGGAGAAGGACCTAATATAATTTGGCATTTCCAATTGGCGTCAATTAGCATAGAAGGGAATCGAATAGCGTGCTTTGATGAATTCGGCCAACATATAAAATACTACACCGCTTTGTGTGTAAATAAGTATTGTCTTGGTTAGGAAAAGATCTTCTATCTTCCAATTTTTTCGGATTTCCAAATAACGAAGTGCATCGGATAAAGTCCTAGCCCTAACCGCTAAAATAATGTATATATTTTACTTTTTTATTACTGTTTGATGCAGGTGATCTAAGAGCATTTATGAATCATAATTAAATTTTTTTCAAAATCGCTTACTTTATTTTCGCGTCCAGGGCTCGATATACATTGCAGCTTGAAGGAAACATGAGACCCTTAAATTTGTGTTTGTTTTTTGAATTCCCTGAACCGCCCCTGTTATGATATGGCACTTCATTCTAGGTAGTAGTTTACAAATATACAGGCTGTCTTTCTTTGATTTCGAATTGAAAACTCATTGTGGTCATATTGTACTAGCAATATAGAAGTATTACATATATGGGTATTTCCCTTGAACCTACTTGCTATAATATTATTATTATTAATCTTAACTTAAATTAATAAAGTAAGCAGTAATGGAAAAATAATTACCAAACCCCTTTTTTATTGTACATACATGACGTGGTATTGGATTCCGCATATACGAGGTATTTATATATGTACTATCTGAGTATGTATTCATTTGAAGTAGTCTTTAGCCGACCATGTATATTATGTATTCTGTATATTATAAAACAAATACATACATATGTAAGTAATATTAACACAATGATTCCAAATATTCTCACTTGGTTTCACTGCTGGGGTTGCTACTGCTGCTGCTCCTCTCCTCAACCTCGACAGGTGTTGCTGGCCCATGTCTTATAACGAACCTAATTTAAAAGTTTGTTGGAAATACATATGCAAAATAAAACCAAAATTGTGTATTTTTTTCTCACTCATCCATAGAGTTGAGCCCGTATAAATTAACTTGAAACACCAATTTTGCGCGGAATTCTAATAATTTTTCGCGGCTTCTTAATGACTCTCGTATTATTCAAATGTCATTTCAGGTACATACTATGTAGGTCTGTGCAAAGAACATAGAAATGGTGTAACTGCGGGGCAGTTTCAAAAACTTGGCGATTAATTCACCGCGATTTATTAAAGACACGAACCGATAATAGTGGCACCCTCGAACTTTTACTTTTCTTTTTCATATGTAAACACATGATTATTATCGGAATAAGTCGAATCTTGAGTTGCCATTTTAGTAGTAATAACTTTAGTTAAATAACCATATTGAGCATAATACATGTATTTGTTCATACTATTTTTCAAAGATTTAATTATTAGCCCTTATCTTTTGGTAAACGAGCTGCAAAAGAACGCTCCAACTCGGCTAACATTGCTATGGCCGCACTGGAATAGCCTGTCATTTAAAGAGAAGGAGAAACGAAAACGGATTGGAATTATTGTGATTTCTGTCACAAAATATTTGTTACTCGGGCTTTGTTGTTTTTAATAAAAATTAATCGACTTCACCATAACGTTTATTCAAAATATTTTATGAGGTGTCCTTATTTAATAAATTTACAAAAATTTCATTTTTTTGTTAACAACGTTTTCTAGAAGCAACAATTTCTTTGCTTCTATTTCACGGTCTTTTTCCCACTCCTGTATTTTTCTTTCATTTTTTCTTCATATATCTTTTTCTCAGCTCTAGCTTCTTCGCGAGCCGAACGCTTTCTGGCCACGCCTAATCTAAATGTTGTCAGGTGTGATGTGGATGCAGTTGATGCTGATGTGGGCGCAGTTGATCCTGATGTGGTTGGAGTTGCTGCTGATGTGGTTGGAGACATTTCCACAGGTCCTTTCCCCAAATGGATGGTGTGGATGTTACAGATGATTGGGCTGCGCCCAAATATCTCTTCCATTAGCTCCATATATGGAGCGAAACATTGGGAAGAACCTGTGCGACTGTTGTTGTCCTTTGCTGACTTGTATGTCTGCAGCAAGGTGCGCACCCTCCACTCCAAACACAGCGGTGTTCTTTCTGAATCCTGAAAATTTGGTAATTTTCTTTTATTTTTGATTAAATTAAAATTATGATTAAACTGTTTACGCACCGTACCTCCCAAGGACAACATGTCCTCCAACACATTTGCATATGCCAGTCGCTTGTTTTTCGGGTGCTCAAACTCGGCTTTGCGAACTAAGTAGCACCCCAGGAAACCTTCCGTCTCCTCCCGCGTTCACCTTCTCCTCTTAATCCTTTAAATTCTGGAAAAAATTAGTTTTTATTTGATAAGTTTTAAAATAAAATTTATTTTTACTTACTCTTGCTCCATTTGCCTTTTGGTTTATTTTACTTTAAAAAAATATTTGCCATGAATGAAAAAATATTTCGAATTTGCCTTTTTGTTTATTTTACTTCTTTTCAAAGAAAATATATTTTGATTTTTAAATGGAAATTTTCCAAGTTCTTTCCATAATCAATCACAATAGTGTCATAACTGAACTTGGCAGCACCTCACACCAAGTCGTATATCGTTATACGAGTTGGAATCAACTTGGCTAATATATGCGAGTTGTGTTGTTGCTTTACATGTAATAAATATTTAAACGAGCATTCTTTTGTAACTTGTATAGGAAAAGATTACGCCTATTGTATGTTTACAAAAGTTCAAAACTACAGTAAATGTTAAAAACAACCAAAATTGGAAATATTTTAACAACTTCACAGGCAAGAAAAAAATAACCAAAATTGGTTAAATGTAACCAAAACGGCAACACTGCTCTTATCGTTAATGGCCCCTGCTTGCTGAACAAGGACTTTGATTTGTGATATGCACCCGGAAAGTCCCGAGCATCTATAAGGGAGGTGCCCGTAACCAATAACTGACTTTACTCCGGAAATACAACGCTGATATCACTGCAAACCTGGACACGTGATGGACGGGACACGGCTGCATAAAATATGCAGCTTGTGCGTTATTAAAACTGCCATGAGACAGCGTACAAATTTTGTCTGGAACTTGTGGTTGAGCGGAGACTAATTCACCCTTTCCACCAAGAGCTTAACTGCCGTTATGAGCCCAGCACCCGGATTCCAGCATTCGCTGTCGCTAATTTTGATCGCTAAAATCTCCAAGATAATAACAGCTGCGCCTACCAACATGCAACATCTAGGTACATGCCCCTCATACTGCCAGCTTTGGTAGATCACACACTGCTTCTGTTACTTTTCCATGTTGCGTGCTTTTAGGCCACACTGATTTTCATTTAGAGAATTTTGGCGATGGAAATTTAGCCTAGCGATTGTCAGAATTCCACTGCAGGTAAGTGCAAAGAACGTTAACATAGGGTGATCAGCAATGTTTATTTCTTACTTTTTAACCGACTTCCAAAAAAGGAGGAGGTCATCAGTTCGTCGGAATATTTTTTATCCTTTTTATGTATGTTACCGCATAACTTTAGACCACGTCAACCGATTTCGATAATTTTTGCATCGGAAAGGTGGTGTCTCAGAGGTGGTCTGAATCTGGTAATCTGGTTTAGACCCGATCATTGGATCATGAGTCGGGTTTGTTTTTTACTTAAAAATTACTTGTCGCTTTTTTGGTTTCGATTGCTTGTACTTAATAGGAGCAGTTATCCTCTTGGAGCTGTAATCTCCTTTTTTCCAATAGGCATAAACTGCAGTTCAGGCTTGGTGGAAATGAACTACATATAAGACATATCGTTTTCTGGTTACCTACGGTCAGTCAACGGTTGCCGCAATCCGCATTAGGGCTGAACTCATCATTAAATTGTTAAAGATAGCGTATTTGGTCGTATTGTCGGAAACTACAGCCTCCACGAGCACACCTCCGACAACGAAGAGAGACTGATCGAATTCCCCGCTGCACGGGACGTGGTAGTTAGTAGTAATACACATCATAGTCGAAAAATGCACAAAGCTACTTTGGTGTCCTCTGTCCAATGGATCAAAAATGACATTAGGTGTGTACTCGTATTGAGAGGGCCAAATTCTCCAGCAGCAAAAGTTCTGAGAATTTCGCAGCATCCGCTCTCAAAGAGACGAAATATCAACAGAAGTACGAGAACGCAAAATTTGCAAAAACTTGCAACCTTCGAAACAGCTGATCACTTGCACAGTTGCCACTGTTGATTAATTTGGCAATTTGTTTTCTGCTTCGCACATTTTCTCCTGATTTTGCATTCTATACAATTGAATAGTTTTGGATAAGAAAAACCTTTTTTTTTTCATTTCAACAACCAACCTACCAAAACCGAAAATTTCAGCAAAAAAACATTTAGCATGCTGCATTTAAATCTATTTTGGTATATTTAAAGGAAATTTATGGTACAAACTAAAAATGTCATACGGCAACCATAGTTAGCACACACTAAAGTAAACAAACTGGAGATTAATAGCAAATTAACGAAAAATAAACTCAACAAACATTGTGCTTATTAAATTTACTCACCTTTTCGTTGTATACTAGCATTAATAATAAAATTTGCAATAAATAACTCAAAAAGGCCATATTTTCTTCTGTTTATTTACAAACATATGTTTGTAATCAGCTAATTTTCTTACTTGCAAGTTTTAGCTGGGAAAAATTTTTCCAGCAGAAATTTGCAGCTCTCTTTCACATTTTGCTCTCTCAATTTCCCCTACTTTGCAAGTTTTTTGGGTACGAGAACGCAAAACCAGTAAAAGTTTTCTAAAACTTTAGATAGTTGGGCGTACGAGTACACTCCTATTGATTACGCAATCATAGACGGAATATATCAAGGCGAATTTATACAAGGTTACAATTTCGAGAATGTAGAGAATTTTGTTTACTTGGGAACCAGCATTAACACCGATAATAATGTCAGCATTGAAATCCAATGCAGAATCATTATTGCCAACAAGTGCTACTTTGGACTGAGTAGGCAATTCAGGAGTCCTCTCTCGACGTAGGAAAACCACGCTCTATAAGTAACTCATCATGCCCGTGCTGGTATATGGCGCAGAAGCATGGACAATGACAACATCCGATGAGGCGGCTCTTGGAGTGTTTGAGAGAAAGATTTTGCAGAAGATTTACGGGCCTTTACGAGTTGGCGACGGCGTGTACCGCAGACGGTGGAACGATGAGCTGTATGAGCTTTACAACAACATGGACATAGTGCAGCGAATTAAAATACAGCGGCTCCGCTGGCTTGGTCATGTCGTTCGAATGGACACCGACGCTCCAGCTCTGAAAGTATTCAACTCGGAACCCGCTGGTGGTAGCACAGGAAGAGGGAGGCCCCCAGTGCGATGGAAAGATCAGTTGGAGAAGGACTTGGCTTCACTTGGCATTTCCGATTGGCTTCAGTTTGAACAGAGGAGAAATGACTGGCGTGCTTTGCTGAACTCGGCCAAAATCGTTTAGGCGGTTACAGCGCCAAAAAAGAAGAAGAATAAAATGCAGCATGCTGAAATATTTTTTTATTTTTGCTGAAGTTGTCGGTTTTGGTAGGTTGATTGTTGAATGGAAATTTTATAAATTTAAAGCTACATTTTTAGCTATATCTATTAAATTCTGTTGGATCAATGATGGGCGTTTGGAGGAGGTACTCTTGTTATTGAATGCGTCACCACGTGATATCACAAATAATTATGATAAAAATAATATATTCACTCCGATATAATTAATTTGTATTTAAAAAAGGTTTAAAAAGGTGGCGAGTCATTTGTGTACGTGTTGGCTCGCCTTCGACTACACATAGTTGGATCATTCAGAATCATGACGAGAGTCATGTTTATGATTAGCATCAAAAATCTCCTTATCAGGCTTTCGTTGAAAAATTGTTTAAATATGTTGTTATGCAAATATTTTAAGCTTAAAATGTTTTGTCGTCTAAGGTGATTAAAAAAAAAAAAAAAACTATTCTTATTCATAAGAAACTAAATTTTTGAAGGTATTTTCAAATTGGTCTAGCTCATGTAAATCTTAATATTATTCCGCAATATTTTGGTTCAAATATAATAGATTCTATAATTCCAGTGGAAAAACAGTACCGACTTTTTTTTGTATAGGTAGTGATGCATACATACAGTCAATCAATAAAATTAGGTACAGCGATTTCTGTGCAATACGGGCAACTGTTTTTTAATTATTTTATTTTTTTGCAAATATTTTATAAAAGTTTGGTTGATTCTACAACATAAACCCCAAAAATCAGAACTCCGAATCTGTGCAAAATTGAAGAAAATTCTGAAAAGTTTCATTAAAATTTTGCACTTTTTATTACACTCTTTTGAAAAAGGTTGAGTATGCATTTTTTAGCCCGTTCAATTTTAGTATGATAAAGTGTAAGTCTGAGGTAGCTAGAACTTACCACCTATTTTTGACATATTTGAGCATACTCACTTTTTTCTAAAAAGTGTAATATTTTCATGAAAATTTTTAGAATTTTCTTTAATTTTGCGCAAAGTTTGGAGATCACATTTTTGGGGTCTTGGTCGTAGAATTAACCATGCTTTTATAGATAATTTTCAAAAAATAAAATAATTAAAAAAAAAACAGTTGCCCGTATTGAAAAAATCTTTATACCTAAACTATATTGTTTGGCTGAAGATAGGTATATCTGAGATTTGTAAAAAAATTAATAGCGCGCTCTTCACAAGCGCTAAGATTTTGTAACAATACTTGTGTGATAAAAGCCTATTTATATGAAATGCGTGAAAAAGCGTGCGTATTAAAAAACTAGACGTCGTGAGCGTGCGTGAACGTGAGTCCAAATCACTCATGCGGCCATCTCCAGTCGGAAGTACTCGTATTTTTTTTTTTCTTTTTAAAGCTATCTTAATTACTTTGCTGGGAATTATGTATGCATTTCTTATTATAAGAATACTATTTTCTTAAAGAAGACAACTTGATTTCTTTTTTTTCCTTAGGGCGCAATAAACTTTAAATATCGACTACTGTATTTAAATTCTTATATCTGCATAAAATTTATACCAAAAAATCATATAATAAATACATACTTTTGTATCACCCGGTGAGATCCAACGATATTGGCTTTCATCTTCTTCATCCGGATGGGTTGAGTGTGTTCGTATCATATTCAAATTTCCAGGTATAATTAACGAAAAAAGTTGTTTGCCCGACCAAAGAACTGTTGGTTTGAGAATGCATGGCTTTGGCACTACACCATCCCAACACGGCATATGCATCAGTAAATTCATTAGCTGCTCATGAGTTATGAAAACATCACGTTTCGTCATCTTGCACACACCAGTCAAACAATCCTGTACTATACCCATTACTGGCTTATTGGTTTGAGGGGTGACTATTTGTCGCGGTGTTAAATGAAGATTCTCAATTTCAGCGCGTGTTTCCATGCTCTGTGGTACGTGTAAATTCATTTCATCGCCATCGAAGTCGGCATTATAGGGAGTGGTGCACGATAGATTCATGCGAAATGTGGACCAAGGCAAAACTTTGACACGATGACCCATCATTGACATTTTATGTAATGTGGGCTGACGATTGAAAATCACTAAATCATTGTCCCGCAAATGGCGTTCTACTTTGTAGCCAAGTTCAAGATGTAGGTCACTGGGTTTGGGATGAAAACGCAAATCGATACGATCGCCATTATTGCGTATTATGTACTTAGCGCCAGGGAATTGTGTATTACCACGCTGAACAAGGGTTTGCATTAGCTGGGAATATATGAAACATATTCGACATGAACAACTTAGAGCGCTAAATAATTTCAATTTTAAGCATACCTCAATATTAAATGGTGTAACCACCTCAGGGTATGTCAGGTTCTGCGCTACAGAGCGTGGTACACCCACTTGATCGATATTTAAGTTTGGGTCAGGCGTGATTACAGTACGTGCAGAGAAATCTACACGTTTGCCCATTAAATTGCCCCGTATACGTCCTTCCTTCCCCTTCAAGCGAGCTTTAATACTCTTCAATGGGCGTCCAGATTTTTGCAGAGCACGTGGTAAACCAGGAATTTCATTGTCTATAAGGGTAACCACATGAAACTGCAATAGAGAGGAACACTCCCGAATCAAGTGGTCTGCGGCGCCTGTTTCAATGCATTTTCTCAGCTCATTATTGGCTTTGATTATATCCGCCAATTTGTGTGTAATATCGTCGTGTGAACGTGAGCTACCACACATTTGTACAGATGGACGAACTGATAGAGGAGGCACTGGCAGCACCGAAATGAGTAACCAATCTGGTCTGCAGTGCTGTGGATCCATACCTAAACATACACAATCTTCATCGGAGATATTACGGAAAATTTCCAGCACACGTTCTGCTGTTAGAATAATTTGGCGCTCTTGACGATGCTCAACAAAGCGATGCCAAGTAGCGTGCAATTCTAGCTTTTGGCGTGTGATTTGCGGTTGATGCTGACCACAACCGCCATGATCCGAAAGGTTACGTTCGTTTGTGCCTCTAATGGCGATATCTATATTTTCGCCGCCCTCGCAAATCGTCTTCGTCTTGCACAATTCACGCATAAGACTGAGACGCATGCGTGGACGTGCTTTGGTAGAATTTAGCACCTCCTTTACCTGTGTGAACGTGAAATAAAAAAATTTATATGTACACGTGTTATTGCAAATGCTAAACTTTTGCAATTTACCTTTGGATTAGAGGGTGATACCAAAAGCTTGGAGCAAGAGAAACACACACAGCGTAATATTTTTATAGTTTTCAATATAAATCCAATATGAAAAACTGGTAAACTCAATTCAATGTGGCCAAAATGGCCGGGACAGTCGACAATATTGCCGGCGCATGTAAGGCAACGCGATTCACGGTCAACCACGCCTTGGCGAGGATCCATTAAGCCACCTATTGCAGGACGTCCATCCTCCACGATAATTGCGCGTGTAATGCCTCCGTCCGTAACAGACATCCGCTTGATTTCATCCGGCGAAAGTACACCAAATTGTATGCCCCTCACTTTCCGTGTGACGCAACCACCACTCATATCTAATTTAAATGTTCGATCGACTACTTACGTTAAAGTGGAATGATTGATATTTTCGAACATAGAAAAGCACAAAAATTCACGAATTTTCAAGTAATGAACTATTTTTTTGTAAATTAACAAAATTTGCACATAATTTGACAGTTACTTCAAAGGAAGTGCGACCGAAGCGGAAATTTATATTTGAATTAGCTGTACTGTTACTTGGGGTGTGTTCAATGTGTGCAAGCACCGAATCTGCCATTGCACGATTTTCGCTTCTGACGTTTGCCCTTTTACAGACTTCCGTCATTCAACCGTCAAGCTAGAAACAGTGCCGCTGCAGCGGCAGATCAGATGTTTCTGTTTAATTATTTTTGCATCCAATTTGCGTAAAATCATGCATGCGACGTAGAATGAAGCGTTTTACAGAGAAAGTGCATCATGAGCAGCAACAAGAAGTGGTATGGGTAATGCGCGAAGACGTTGTTACACCAGAGCAACAACAAGGGAAACGGAAACCAAATGCGGAAGAGGAAAATGAATCACTTAAACTTCCAATTGTTTACTCAAACAGTTATGGAGTACGTTTTTGTGGCATGGAAAAACTGCATCCCTTCGATGCCGCTAAGGGAGCGCATGTTTTGAAAGTATGTACTTATGTATGCAAGGTTTGGCTTAAATTAATAAATTAAAAGCGTTCATTTCCAGTGCCTACTGCACAGCGAAGTACTCTGTCCCGGTCAGTTTTATGAACCAACAGAAATTACAAAGGAAGAGCTACAAAAAGTACACACACGCCAATATTTACGTAGTTTAAAGGTAAAATACATCAGTATATTTTATATGCGTACGTTGATATTTATTAAATTGTCTCTCATTCCGCTCAAGTGGAGTCTGAATGCAGCTAAAATATCGGAAATCCCTTTGCTTCTTTTTGTACCTAACATATTTGTGCAGCGTGGCTACTTACGTCCCATGCGCTTCCAAACTGCTGGCTCTATATTAGCCGGAACTTTGGCTCTGCGGTACGGTTGGGCTATTAATTTGGGTGGTGGATTTCATCATTGTTGTGCCTATAAGGGCGGTGGCTTCTGCCCATATGCCGATATAACTTTGTTAATCACAAAAACATTTGAAGAGGAGCCTGATGTTGAGACAGCTATGATTGTCGATTTAGATGCACATCAGGGTAATGGACACGAACGTGATTTTCACGATAATAATAAAGTTTTCATTTTGGACATGTATAATGCGTCTATATATCCGCGTGATCATGAAGCCAAATTGGCCATACGTTGTGCTGTGGAGTTGAGACCGCGCACCGCGGATGAAATTTACCTGAGGAAATTGAAGAGGTACATATTCATGAGCTCTCATTTGCCGTATTTGTAATATAATGTAGCGATACATAATCTGAATTCTGTTCTTTTTGTTGTCCTTTGGTAAAAGGTCTCTAAAACATTCCTTGAATGAATTTCGTCCCGATTTATTGGTTTATAATGCTGGAACAGATGTCCTCTTAGGAGATCCACTAGGTCTACTCTCCATTACGCCCGAGGTACTTATGGTGGCGTCAATTGCATTTAACTTTTACAATTAAGAATGAATTGTCATTTACAGGGTGTGATGGAGCGTGATCAATTTGTTTTTGCCACTTGCCGTGAACAGCGCATACCTATTGTAATGTTACTCAGCGGCGGTTATTTGAAGTCGTCTGCTAAGGTCATAGCCGACTCTATTGTTAATCTAAAAGCCAAGGGTTTACTTGCCAGCTAAATGCTATAAAAATATTTGAGATCTTCAACAAACATTTTTTACAAAACGACTTAGTCGTTTGTTCCGCAACTTGCGCTCCTTGCTCAAATACCGAAACGCAATTAAGATGAAAATTCTATGTTTTTGTTTAAAATATGTACATGTTCCTGTAACTTAAGAGTATTTAAACAAAATTGCTTAGATCTGCTATATACATATTTTTAATATTCATGTATGTACGTATACAAAGCTGTAACTGATCGTAACTAAATTTGTGATGTAATATAAACAAGAAGCTTAACATTCCATCAATAAATTGTTAAAATATAAAAATATACAGAAGAAATGCAGGACTATACTTTTTGTCAAGTGTTCCAAAATAAGGGTTTTAGAACCGTACTACATTTGTATGTAAGTTCATATCGTAACCTAAGTGGAAAATCGACCTATCTCAGCAGCCAATTCGATAACGCCCGCTACTGTTTAACTTTTATATTTCAAAGCTCCCTCAACCACCAGAGGGAGTCTCGATTGTCTCCTATGCCGACGACTGCTCGATCATGGCGACTGGGCATGGAATTGATGACCTGTGTTTGAAAGTAAACGGCTATCTCTCCGAACTTTCTCGCTTCTTCACTGCAAAGTGTCTAGCCCTCTCCCCTACGAAATCCTCCGCGACCCTGTTCACAACCTGGACGAAGGAGGTCAGGCTACCGCTGGGGATTCACGTCGATGACACACCAATTCCGACGGTGAATAACCCCAAAATACTCGGAGTAACATTCGACAGCCTGCTCTCCTTCTCTGCGCACTCAACCGCTATTGTCAATAAAGTACAGAGCCGCAACAAGGTCCTCAAGTCGCTAGCCGGCAGTACTTGGGGCAAAGACAAAGAAACGTTGCTGGCAACATACAAGGCAATAGGCCGGCCGGTTTTGAACTACGCAGCGCCAGTGTGGTCGCCAGGGACTAGTAGGACGCAGTGGACGAAGCTACAGACGGTACAAAATACGGCACTTAGGACAGCGACGGGATGCCTCCTGATGTCGCCTGAACACCACTTGCACGGCGAGGCGCAAATGCTCCCAGTTAAGGAGCATAATATAATGCTCTGCAAGCAGTTCCTGATAGGGAGCCACAGAAGTGGCCACCCAAGCAGACAGCTGCTTGCAGAGGAGCCCTCGCCTAGGCACGTCAGGAGGCATCTATATGAACTGACGGACGAAGTCCAGAGGTTCATTAAGCAACCTCTGGACCCGACAGCGTACAGACAGGCCCTGAACGGCATTCACAGGGACTCAGTCTCGAGTTATGTAGACTCTAGACCTGTGAATGCCGTTCTAGGCATACCACCCCCGGACATAGACGAGACAGAGCTTCATCTGCCTCGGGAGACACGCACTACACTCGCTCAACTTCGCTCCGGCTACTGCAGCAGGTTAAACTCCTACTTGAGTAGGTTGAATGAGGATGTGCCGAACGAATGTCCGGCATGCGGAGAGACCCCACATGACTCGCACCATCTCTTCGCATGCCCGGAAACCCCGACACCCCTAACGCCCTTGTCCCTGTGGACAGATCCCACAGAAGCTGCACGCTTCCTAGGGTTGCCGTTAGTGGAACTTGACGACAACGACTGAGATACCAACCGATCTGGGCGGGGTTGTTGTAGCCGCTACAACAACAACAACATAACGCCCTGTCTCAGAAAACTTTTCAGGCGTTCTTCAATCAAATTCTGAAGTAGGGTGTTCTTGAAAAGTTTTCTGAGGTAGGGCGTTTTCGAACTGGCTGCCGAGATAGGTCGATTTTCCACTCAGATGACGGTATGTTTGTAGAAATATCCATTTAAATCATTTTCTGAATGCTCAGAATTTGTGAGTCTAAAATGAGTCTTTCTTTCGTCATATATATGATTCTGAGACCAGTCAACCAGACTGACTCATAACGGATTCTTTTGGGGTCATAAATTCTGTGTTGAACAAAAGAAACAAAGTTCAAGTAGAAGTAAAAGTTTATTAATAATCAGAATTATAAATAGTATTTGTTTTTAAGAAACAGAAAGAATATGCTCTTTTCAGACTCTTTCTTGAGCTCATAATGAGGGTCACAACTCAGAATTCTGAGACTTTTCTGACTCTAAAATGAGTCCGAATATTTATAGGGATTCAGACCTTATTTAATGTAGAAATAAAAAACTTGTTAGAAAAATTTAAAATGCTAACATTTTTATTTTTATAGGTTTTCGGAATTTTTTAAAAAGTTAGGTTTTGACAAAATATAACGAGTTAGGTCATTCTATATTATGTAAAGTAATAATTAATATTTCATACACATAAGGGTACAGTCACACATATTAAATAACTACCAATGAAAACCAATATTTCACGTTTTACACGCCTTATGCTAACTAACTTGTTCCTGCAGCTGAACTTTTGCCTTGATTGACAAAAAAATAAAATCTTCATTTATATAAATGTTTGTTATTTTCGTTAAACGATTTCATCTCACTTTATTATATATAATCGTTCTTGCCTGTGTACAATGTTATTGTTCATATTAAAAACACATATGCATTATTGCATTTTAAAGAAAAGTTAACGAACACATTTGTAATTCATTTGGCTAACTAAAATGATATGAATTTATGTGTGCCGTTTTTGTAAGTGTTTATGTATGAACTAGCAGTTTTAGATCATTTCCTGAAATAAAATAAAATTATTAATAAAGCATCTATACATACATAAGTAATATTTATTGGTCTTAAATGTATATACAAATAATGTTATACAATTTCGACTTAGTGTAGATAATAAAAGGCCAAATAAGTAAATTTACAATTTAGGTTTTAAAAAGAGAAAATACCTAGTAAATAGTTGAACGTAGCTTAACAAGAATATCGCTTTAATTTATTGGCTTTATAATTTTCAATTTAAAAAAATAATGCACACTTATGTGCCAATATGTATGTACTGCAATTTGCTGGGTCGCACATATTATTAACTATAGTGCACTATACGAATATCTGGAAACATTAAGTAATACAAAGTTGTAATTAGTAATGAAAAGGAATATCAGTTTGTCTTTTATAGTGTGTTTTAGTATGCATCAGTGCGCTTATGTTAAAAAACAATGAAATTACTAAACATATTGAATGATTGGTCTGCAATGAGTTGACGTACACAAAGTGCGTGTTATTGGAATTTATAAATTTAGTATAAATATCTAATTTTATATTACTTCGAAACGCCTGTACTAAAAAT